GATGCTGCTTGGCCTGCTGTGTTCATCCAGCCCTGCACCTTGTTGTCTCGGATTCTCCAGCATCTGCAGTTCCTACTATCTCAGTTCTCATGTGGCCATTTGGCTGTTCTCTGACTTTCATTCAAAGTTACTGCAGGGTTTGAGTGCACGGCTATGGATGATGTCAGAGGGAGTGAGGCACTGTCAAAGACAGTAAGAATGTGGAGGTGCTTTTGGTGAGTGCGAGACTGTAAAGGAGAGAGTGAGATGGTGTTGGAGGGATTGAGGAGTCAGATACAGTTGGAGGGAGTTTACATTTGGTGAACTTGTAACTCCATAATTGAGAAACTGATAACCACCACCACTGACTGAGCTGGCCAAATCCTGAAGCACATAGCTGTTAAACTGTGGCTATGATCAGTGAAAGGAGAACCGACACAAGGATAAAACCAAGTTTACAATATCCTCACCAATTGACCTTTTCCAGATCCATCTGTTCATGGCAGTCATTGGTAGGAGTGACATCAGTGTCTCCTTGTGGAGACAGTTGCATCTTCACACGGAGCACATGCTCCATCATGTGTGGCATGAGCACTCTGCTAAATGGGTGATAGATTCAAAATGCATCTAGCAACTGGCATCCATGGCATCCAAGAGGCATTGTCAGCCATCAGCAGCTGCAGAATTGTACTCTTAGCTCATTGCCTGGCATATCCCACACCGCCATTGCCATTAAGCTGGTTCAGTGAGGAGTATAGAGAGCATTGTAAGGTGCCAATTTGGTTAAAATGTAATGCAGGCTATAGCAGAAACAGCATGCGATAGACAGAGTGAAGCAATCCCTCAACTAATGATAAGAGAGTGGTAATGATCTAGTGACAGTTCACAGCATCACAAGTGCCAGTCTTCAGCCAATTAAATGCACTGCAAATAACATTTAAAAAAAACAGCTGAGTGCACTAAATACTGAGTGTTTTACTTGCATACTAACTTCTTTTGTAATTGATGCACCCCAACACGTCAATCCCGCTGCACATGACTGCAGAATTCCAAGATACAGAGATATTTTGATGTTCTTGTGTGTGTATCACAGAAAAATTAGTGTACAGGTACAGCAAGTGATTAAGGCTAATGGAATGCTATCATTTATTACAAGAGGAATTAAATATAGAATGTAGAACAGTACAGCACAGTACAGACCCTTTGGCCCACATGTTGTGCCAACCTATTATCCTACTAAGATCAAACTAGCCTGCATGCCCTCCATTTTACTATCCTCCATGTGCCTATCCAAGAGTCGCTTAAAAGTCTCTAAAGTATCTGACTCCACTACCACTGCCGGCAGTGCATTTCACTGCGTAAAGAACCTACCTCTGACATCTCCCCTAAACTGTCCTCCAATCATCTTAAAATTATGCCCCCTCGTAATAGTCATTTCCGCCCTGGGAAAAAGTCTCTGACTATCCACTCTATCTATGCCTCTCATCATCTTGTACATATAAATATGTAAGTAAGGATGTTATGCTTCAGTGTACAAGGCATTGGTGAGATCACATCCCAAATACAGTGTGTAATTTTGGTTTCTTTATTTAAGGAAAGATGTAAATGCCCTGGAGGTTGTTCAGAGGAGGTTCATGAGATTGGTACCTGGAATGAGTGGTTTGTTTTATGAGGAAATGTTGGACAGACTGGGCTTGATTCTTCTGGGATTTAGCAGACTTGATTGAAACGTGTAGGATCCTCAAAGTTTTGACAAGGCAGATGTAGAAGGATGTTTCCTCTTGTGGGTGGATCATGAAATATGGGGGGCATTGTTTTAAAATTAGGGTTCACCTTTTTAGGACAGAGATGAGAAATTTTTTTTGTCTCTTGGGTTATGTGTGACGCACCAAATCTACACATCCCTGAACACTATGGGTAATTTAATGTGGCCAATCCACCTAACTTGCACATCTTTGGACTGTGGGACGAAACTGGAACACCCGGCAGAAACCCACGCAGACATGGAAAGTATGTGCAAACTCCACACAGACAGTCACCTGAGTGTGAAGGGCAGCAGTGCTGCCTCCTTGTACTGAAGCAGTCCGTGTCCATATGCAATAAAACTTGGACAACATTTATGCTTGGGCTGACAAGTGGTCAGTATGTTTTTACACCACACAAGTTCTGACAATAATCATCAACAAGTGAGAATCTTAACCATCACCCCTTGATATCCAATACAATTACCGTCACTGAAATTTCCACTATCAACATCTTGAGGGGGTTACCAGTGTCATAAAATCCTGCAGCATGGAAGCAGACCTTTCGGTCAAACTTGTCCAGGCCAACCAGGCATTTTCCTGTGTTTGGCCCATATCCCTCTAAATCTTTCCTATTCATGTATCTATCCATATGTCTTTTAAATGTACCCACCTCTACCACTTCCTCTGGCAGCCCATTCCAAATATGCACCACCCTCTGTGTGAAAAAGTTGCCCCTCAGGTCCCTCTTTGCCCTCTCACCTTAAACCTATGCCCTCTAATTTTGGACCCCCCTATCCCGAGAAAAAGCTATTCACTTTATCTATGCCCCTCATGGTTTTAGAAACCTCTTATAGGTCACCCCTCAGCCTCACGCTCCAGGGAGAAAAGTCCCATCCTATCCGGACTGTCCTTATAAGTCAAACCCTCCAGTCTTGGCAACATCCTTCTAAAATTT